GAAACCATATGTGTCACCTTTTTTTACTCTTTACTTTTAAATCCTGCTGCCAGCTGGCCTCACAAAATATACATCATCACTATCACTCCCACAACCTGCAAAGCTAACTTGCAAGGTGATTTTGAAAATATTACTTTCACAAATATACAAAAAAGCTTTATATTATAAAACCACAGCATTTCTTTTTCCCGCTGCTTTTTCAAGTAGCAATAGGAAAAAAAGTGCCTTGAATTTTAATATGTTCTCAATCTGTCCAAACTCTACAGTGCTGACTGAACATGTATTTTATATTTTTATCTCACCAGGCAATGCAAAGCAAGCTTATTTGTATAGCACAATTCATATACAGCAGACTATAAAGTGATTTACAGAAAGAAAAAAGGAACAGAGATAAAAAAAAAAAAAACAACAACCAAAAAAGATTAACATTTCCTGGCATAAATGTCGATAATGAGCATCCACTTAAGACCTGATTCAAATGAAAGACTAGAGGCTATAAAAATAGTAAACAGTATTTCCTGATCCCCTGGGTCACTGTAATTATCACATTTCTTTCCGTTTAAGTCTCTCATTCTTTCTAATTGTTTTCTACATTTTGTGGAGTATTTTTTGCTTTCTTTGAACACCAAAGTAAAAACCATTGTCTTTTTTTTTTCAGATATATTTACTACTTCCCTGTTGCTACCTAACCGGAGCAATCTGCCTTGCTTCTTCAGCGAGGCACTGATGTTAATAGTTTGGTTGCCAGATATCACCCAATATCCAATGAAAGTCGGGAACCACTCCGTTAATTTTGTGATTTCCATGCACAGGCACAGGCGTAGTAGCCTCAGGAGATAAGTGGATAAACGTACAATCAGTGATGAGGTTACATAGTAATGGGTAAGAAAATAGGACTTCTAACATTTAAATGTAATTCTTGCATCTGTACTCAGAACCTGATCAATGTGAGTAACACATCAAGGAGAAATGACTTTTCTGCTCTCGCTCTTTTTTAATGAAAATAGGATACGGAGCATGCAGTACGTCAAAAGTATCGTGCAGCAATTTCTTTTTGTTGTTGTTTTTTATTTAACTGTAATACCAGCCCCTCAGTAAAAATAGATGACAAAATAAATTATAAATCATTTCATATAATTAACGTCAAGACATGGTTTAAAAATATTAGGCGTAGAACAATCTGAAATTCTCAAATAGCAAATTTTATTTTGTAATACCCCAGATACATAAATCATTGTTACAAATGAATGTTAAACTTTAAAACCAAAAGAGAAATAAAAAAAATCACTAACTTCTAGGGAAAAACAATCATGTACAATTTAGCCATTTTTTCTGCCACCTTTGTCCATCTTCGCTGTGTGTGAATTTTATGCAAATATAACCCACCTGCAAATCACAGACACGTGCTAAAAGCTATTTTTTGAGTCCTCCGAGTCCTCGGAAACTTTTAACATCCATTTGCAATGTATTTTATGCCAGGTGCTTGTGTGCTCTTGTGGCAAATTATTTCTCATTATTTTGGAGTTGAATGGAAGCTTTTAGTACGCTGAGCTACATTAATTCATTTGTTGGGCATAAAAGTCCTCCCTTTTAGAGGTAACTGCAGCCGTTACAGACCACAGTACAGACCAAGCTGTTCCACAAGAAGGGGATGACAAATGAACTCATGTCATACCTAATTATTTGTCATTAAATACTGAAGTAGAAGATGGATGAGGTGAGGTTATGCGTGCTTACAAACAGAGCCAAACATCTTCATCTTATGTTGAATGGATCGATTGGCTCTGCCTTTTTTGTTTGATGTGTTTTATTTTAACTGGAGGCAGACAAAACACCCATCCATCTCTCTGTACTGTACATATTTCTGTAAGCCACTGCTTTAATTACTTTAATGCTGTATCCTGACCAGTGATACTACAATTTACATGAATGTAGAAATGGATTCTTTGTATTATTAATTGATCACCCAACCACCCCCCACCCCCAATGACATGCCCACACTGCTGACCCAACAAATAATGCAAGGAGACAAAAAGTTTGCATTTTAAATATATTTTTTATTCTTTACCAAAGCAGAATTATAGTTTTACAAAGTTGGGACATTTTCTGGAGATATGCAATACATTATCAGGACAACCCAAAGCTTATGGAAGTTTCTAATTGAAAAGAGTAAAATATAATTAAACCTGAATATCCTACGCATTCTTGCACCTGTCTGATTTTTTCCACCCATCTGAAATTGAGTCGTGAAGCTTCAGGATGGACACCTAGACATTCCTCTACATACCAACTCTCTCCTGGACATTATGGAGATTTCTAGATGTTGCCGGGCAAGAATATACATATAGTTCCTTCAATGAGTTTTAGATACTTCCTGTATTTCCTTCTAATGGGACGTGCACAGAAAACCTATACATATAGGCACCTGGGAAGCATCCTAATGGGATCCTTTGGTTGCAAAGTAGCTCTGTAGCTCCTCCTAACTCATCCCAGAAGACCAAGATCAAATTCAACTCAACTCAAACTTCACAGGGTTTACGTCAAAAACAACAGGGGATGACCTGTAAAAGTACCAGCAAAATTATTCTACTCTGTATGCAAAAATATTGTGAACAAGTTCCAAACAGTGATCAAAATACATTATCTGAATAAAATAAAATGAAATAATACACTGATCTAAAGAAATTCTACAACGGATTAAAAACTAAATCATTGTCATCTATCAGTCCTCGAATGGTTGCTAATATTTCTTTAAAGGCTTTGGGATTCTTGTGAACCACAATGAGAGCCATTGTCCACAATATGGACAAACATGGGGCAGTCCCAGCTGTGGCTGGCATTTAAAAATTAATCTGATAGTGCATTGATATCTCACCCAGGATGCTGCAAAAAATAAAATAAAATAAAATAAATAAATAAATAAATAAATACAATCCAGAACAATAGCTGAAAGGCTGCAGGCCACACTTGGCTCAGGTTAGGTCATTATTCATGATCCTATAAGAAAGAAAATGGCTCCATGGGAAAGTTTCAAGGCGAGAACCACTGATGACTGAAAAGAACAAAAGGCTCATTTCACTTTTGACAAAATATCTCTTGATTTTCAAAAAATGGCAAGACAAAAGTGAAAGTTTTTGGAGGTTGAGTGTCTCATTAATTCTGACATATAGCTAGCAGGGCTTCTAAAATAACCATCATGCTGACATTTAAAATGGGCATGGTGATTGTAGTGTGATGTAGGGCTGCTGTCCTGCTGCAGGGCCTGAATCAGCTGTCATAATTAATGAAACCGACCAGAAAGAACTTTGTTCTTGTTCTTGACTTAAGATTTTTATCAGAAAATACTAAATGGACATAGGCTGGCCATCGATCTTAAGCTCAAACACACTTTAGTCAAAGCCTGGGGTTCAACAATATCGAGGCATGACCTTAAATAGGCCCTTCGTGCTCGAAACCCTCCAGTGCAGCTGAATTAAAAGTATCCCGCAAAGAATGGTGGACCAAAAATCCTGCTCAGCAATGTAAAAGATTTACAACCAATTATTGTAAAATTCTTTCTAATTCTTTTTACGAATTTGCAAGTTCAAGGTACTGTGTGACTCTAGTTTGGTCTGCTTTCTCCACTAACCCCCTATACTTATGGTTTTATGTGTGATACACATACAAGTAGCTTGGCATGTTGTAAATTCCTGAAAATGAAAACTCTTTGTTGTCAAAATAATTAAGAGCTCTGTTTTCAAAGACAATGAAGGAAAGTCATGGTTCTCATTGATCTTTGCTTTAGGAAGCACTTTCTTCAAGCTGCAGCCAGGGTCAGGGACAGTCCCCTGTAATTTCACTGGTGGGTTTAAAGCTGTCTGAGTTTATTGAATAGTTGTGAGATGGGGCACTCATTACCTTTTCTTCTGTGCTATTCATCATCAGGAGTTCGCGAAAGAGAGGAAACATTCAAAAGTTGAAAACGACTTAATTAAACAGGACAAATTGTTAGAAATTAGATTCAAGGAAGCCCTTCATCCACTTTCTCAGGTAACTGCTCTGAAAAAATGTTAAAGACTGACAATTACTGATGTGCTCTGACTCATCTGACAAAAGTCTGTTTTGAAACTTAACAATAAGCCGATAAAGTCTTTTCATTTCTTCCCTTTAGCATGATGGGTGCAATTATGCTACCGCCATTTCTTGTGGCCTTTGAGTCCAGGCTTCACATCTTTTGCACCAGGATGACAGGATGCTGATGAGGAGTTTGTAGGCAATTTCACGAGACTGACTTAACAGGGTTGTTTCTTCAAAGTGTGCTGACAGCCGGGCCATGCAACTGTAGCTGGATGTAGCCTTGGGTCTTCTTATTGTAAAAACCAGAGAAGTGTGGCTTTTTTTTTCTTTTTTCTTTTTTTTTTGCACTTTAGACCTTGTCCAGCTTTAAGTAGTTGGAATCACTACTTTTCTGCAATGAGAAAGCAAAGAGAAGCTGAAACTAAATGTGCATTTTGTTGATATAAGTCATAATAAACATTAGTTTTACACTTATAACAACACATATTAATAAGTGTAGCTATGGCTATTGGTGGTATGAAAAGCATTGTTGACAGATTGCCAGAAAGTCCCATTTGCAGTCTGTCATAAGTTATGATGTGGATTCAGAAAAAAATGTGGACAAATAAGATCAAAATTGAACTTTTTACTCATCCAAAAAAATGGCAGAAGAAGTCCTCCTTATTCTGGTTTAGGGCCTCTGATCCTAAATTCACAGTCACTCATACTTTGAAATAATTCATATCAAATCTTTTGCATGTGTTAAAAAATCCAGAAATAAAACAAACCCTCTTCCTTAATCACTCCCCTACTCGGCTCCTTCAAACCAGCTTCAGCAATGCACTCAAATTGTTTAAACCAGACAGTGTGCATTGTGTCATACAGAGTGCTGCGAATGTCTATAATATTTGTGTGCGTTGGGAATTTTTACACAACAGAGTTTAATTCATCATGTCTGTGTCCAGGTGGCATTTTCGAGACCAGAGAAAGTGAGTTAGTGAGCATGGACGAGCTGGCCTTCAAGTTTGCTGTAAATAACATAAACCGCAATAAGACCTTGATGCCCAACGCAACTCTAACCTACGACATTCAGAGGATCAACGTCTTTGATGGCTTTGAGGCTTCTAGGAGAGGTATGCAATCATCTTTCGGTGACATGGAATCACCTTTTGGTGCATCTAAAATCCCAGTCCGAGTAAAGTGTGAGAACATAACAGCAGTATAGACCACTACCTGTCGTCAGTGGGACATACTGTATTTAAGACCCACAGATGATTTTCTTTCCTATTTTAATGTGGAGCTGTGATTGTTTCAGATTTAAGGTATTTTAAATTTTATTTGTGAACATGGAAGATCACTAAGAATCAAAAACATGGGGAAAAAAAGGGGTGTTAACTAAAGGTTCATCTTCAAAAAATTGGAATATTATCATAAAAGTAATTTTTCTCAGTAATTCAGTTCATAAAGTGCGGGTTACATATTTCTTATTTCCTTACTCTGATACATTTCAAGCATTTATTTCCAATGAATATGATTAATAAATACAATGAATCCAGTTATCAGAACAAAATGATTCAAAGTACTTTTTTGTATTATTTTAAAGTCAGATATTTCAAACAAACTGAACCCTCATTTATGCTACACTTCCACGCTGGCAATATATCAGCATCTTGGTGCGAAGTGCCTGATCTTAGTTTCTGTTAAGATCTGCACATACATGGCAAAACCTCTTTTTTCAATAACTATTTTGTCTTAAAATAATTTGTTCTTATGTTTTTTTTCCCCTCTCTTTTACCAGTGTGTGACCAGCTAGCACTCGGGGTAGTGGCTGTGTTCGGACCCTCTCACAGCTCCTCAGTCAGTGCGGTGCAGTCCATCTGCAACGCTCTGGAAGTTCCTCACATACAGACTCGGTGGAAGCACCCCTCAGTGGACAACAAAGACACTTTTTTTATTAACCTATATCCTGAATATACAGCCATCGCCAGGGCCATCCTAGATGTGGTCACATTTTTTAAATGGAGGAAACTAACAGTGGTCTATGAAGACAGCACTGGTAAGGCCAGTTGATCATGTTATCACACCACTGTTGTAACCGTTAATATTTGTAAAATATCAGTCAGAAATTAACAAAGTTTTGCAAAGTGCAAAATATTTTAAGTTCATCAGTTGGAAGCAACTTACCCCTATTTTTGTGCTGTGTTGTATTTGTTGACTCTTAAGCCATTGTAGAATCCCTAAGCCAAAAAATTCATTTTGATAATAGGAAATTTCTGGTTCTGCAGGAGAGGTACTCTTCAAAATTTTAAGAAGGAACATTTGAGAGGAGGAAAAACATTAGAATGCTACAATTTCGTAATATGGATGGATCATATTTGCAAGCGATTCAGTTTAGTTCAACTCAATTTATTTACATTTCATTTAGAAACTTTCATTCCCCGATTTTGTGTTCTGAAAAAAAAAAAAAAAAAATCTGATGCATACATCATGTAATGGGTCCAGACAGTCACTGTACACTATTTCAACACTTTGTGTGGATAATAATACAGATAATTACAAAGAACAGAAGGGGCCAGACACAGATGCTTTGTTCCGTCAAGAGTCCCAAGCCAAGTTGAAATTCCCAGAAAAAATACTAAATTGTAAATAATTAAAATTCTTATATTATTGTAGGTTTGATGCGCATGCAGGAGTTGATTAAGGCTCCAGCTAAATTAAACTTGAAGATCAGGATACGGCAGCTCACCCTTGGCAACCAAGATGCTCGGCCGCTGCTGAAGGAGCTGAAGAAAGACAGAGAGTTTTTTATTATCTTTGACTGTTCTTACCGCACAGCTTCTGAACTTCTAAAGCAGGTCAGTGAGTTAAAGTGTGTGTTATAACTATTTAGTTATTTATTCACCCTTTATAATGAGATATTATAAGTGATGTTTTTATTACTTTTTCCAGCTTTCATCTATGGGAATGATGACAGAATACTACCATTTTTTCTTCACAACTTTGGTGAGATGGTTAAAGATTGTTTTGGTTTTTGACTGAGACATTTTGTTAATTGACTAGAGAATAAAAATGACTAAAGCTCACTTTCTTTCCCTCCTTGCAGTGTACTCAGATTTTCTTCAGTCCTCTGATTTTCATCTGCTCTTTACTCTGGCAGGATTTGTTCGCTCTGGACCTGGAACCCTACCGTTACAGTGGGGTCAACATGACTGGTTTCAGATTGCTTAACTTTGATGATCCGTGGGTGGCTTCGACCATTGACAAGTGGTCTTCGGACAGAGTACAGGCTCCCAAACAGGAGAGTGGTCTGATGGAAGGAGTCATGACAGTAAGTCTTGGCACAAAGCCAGCGATGCCAGATGTTTATCACATCATATCACAGTTTATCAAAAATGTGTGTTTTATTTATTTATTGAAGAGTGATAAATCAATCAGAACATTTTCTAATCCAAATGCAGGCGTTTTCTGCTTCCTCTCAGATGCAGATCTAAAAATACATCAAGGATTTATGGTCATTAATTGTTTCAGAGTCTGAATAAATGTGTCACATGTCATCAGGATTATGAAAGATATCCTATTTAATGTTTTGTTGTGTAATGGAAATGACTTATTTTTAATTTTCTCTCAGGAAAATGTATTTTATTGCAAATAAGCAACAAAAAAACCTGTTTTTACTAATTGAATAAAAGATATATAAAAACTATGCAGTCTTACTGTGGGAAACTTTAGGAGACCCTACCACTTAACAGATAGTGATGAACATTTTGATTGAAATTTGTTCATTTAAATGCTTTTTGTAGCCATTGCCTAGTCTCTAACATTATTCTGAGGAAAGCTTGCCTCTCTCTTTAATGTAGAATTATTTCAGCCGTGAGATATTTTAAAGGGTTTCTTGCATGCACTGCTTGTTTCAAGTCAATTTCTTAATTCTCAGGCTGTCCACTGGGATTTATTGATATGTTTTGAGTCCAGCTCTGCTTCAGCTTTAAGTTTTTGACAGACAGGCTTACATTTCCTTAAGCATCCTCTGAAACGCCACATGTTTTATGGAGGAATGTGAGCTGGTCAGGTTTTGCTTGAGGAAAACACCACAAGGTCATTATGTTTCCAACTCCATTGCCAAAAACAGTTGTTTTCTCATTTAATAAGTGTCTGTTAGATTATATGGATATTCTGGAATATAAATAGTTTTACTGAGTTTACCAAAAGCTTCACAAAAATGACTGAAAGTCAATGATATGTATTTCTGTGGTTTAAAAATCTGGTGTCATAACAGAGCGCGTCAAGCAGTTGGGAAGTGAGACTTAAAAGACTTCTTTGCAGTAGGTTTCTAAATCATGACAGGCATTTACCTTTACAACATTATCTTGCAAAACAGGAACCATCTCTATTAAAACTACACACGTAGAATGACAACTGTAAATATGGTCACAAACACATCTGATTGGATCAAAGAAGTTACACAAACAGTGATGGGTAAAGTAAGCCAATAAGAAAAAAATAAATAATCCACACTGCTTAGTGGCTCACTTTCCATCTAATTTTCATTTACAAGACCTACAGCCAGGAGTCATTTAAAATGCTCCTTCTGAATAATAGAAGAGTGAATACATATATTTTCTATATGTTCTCTATAGACAGATGCAGCCTTGATGTTTGATGCCGTGTACATGGTTGCTGTCGCGTCGCAGCGGGCCACTCAGATGACCGTCAGCTCGCTGCAGTGTCACCGCCACAAGCCCTGGCGCTTTGGACCTCGCTTTATGAACCTGTTCAAGGAGGTAGGAGTCAGAAAATGATCCACATTATGGAGCCAAGAACCCTGTGCCGCTTACTGCTTTCAGCTTTACTCCCATAGAGTTTTCAAGATTTGCAGAGTCGGTTTTCAAAGGACCGCCCGGGCACAAGATCATTCTTTACATTTATACTGCCACAGCTTTAGAGTTGAATTTCAAAAAAATTTAATATCAAGTGAGGCGATATATTTTGTTGGTCCCTTCCATATGAAAGCAGTCAATATGAAAATATATGCCTTTCTTATACTAAAAGGTTGAGAACCTGTGGCCTGTAGCCCGGCTGTCTGACTGAATGCCCTACAGACAGAAATGAAGCCTTTGATGCTCAAATAGTTTGATCTCTTTAAGTCTTAAATCCAGTTGAGGACCGATGCCTGCCTGGGAGGGAGAATGTTATCGCTCCATCCCCTTGCTTGGATTTTCTTCTTAATGGTGTGCTTTTTTTCGGTTTGAATTTTCTTCTTTAGCCTCTAGTTTTATTTACTGTTTTCTGAAGCACTCATTCTCCTCTGCTATTCATTATTTAATAATAGACTGTCTGATTGCGAGAGCAGCTAGCATAATCCTTGACATCATGCTTCGTTAACACTATAATAAGTGTGATTTCTCTTTCCTTTGAATATTTTACTGCACCATGTTCAATGTGTTTTTGACTGAAGTTAATTACTTTTTATTTTACCTTGGCAGGCAGTCTTTTGTCATTCAGAATATCCTCAGATAACCCGTGAAATATGAATAATATCTTGTGGTTTAAACTGCAACAATTGCAGAGAGATATTTTTCTAAATTAGCTTTTTGTATGCCTTTTGTATTAAAACCTTACGTTAAAGTTAATAATGTATGAATAGAAAGCATTCCAGGGACATGATGAAAATGCTGTAATTTGATTTATTCCTGTATTGAACCCTCAGTTTAAATGCTGAATATATTGTACTTGAAGCAGCTCATGAAGTAAGGGTTAAAAAAAAGGAAAATACCACTCTCTCAACATTCAGGAGAGCAAAGGGCAATAGGAAAGCAGAAAAATAGTCATGCAATAATTGTAACTGCAAATTCAGTAAATCATCTTTTTATGTATGTTAATTATAATTCACTTTTTAAAATAAAATAAAAGCATTAAATTAAAAAAAAGAATTTAAGTTAATATTGATTTAGTCTTTCCTCTTACCACTGTTCCACAAAGGCCAGATGTGTGAAGTACAGTGTTAATAAAACACTTGCTGTCACAAAGCACTGCCTATTTCCACAAAGCTCTTCCTTGGAGCTGCAGTCCCCATCAGAGCTTTTGCCTTACAGAGTTGCCCTCCCCACGACTTCCCCTCACAGCTCCTCTAGACTAGCAGCATCTAGCAAACACCAGGTTGAACTGAGCGTCTGCTAAGCTTAACAAACTAACTGATCAACGATCAAAGTATGATCAATGACAAAAGAAGTTCTCTCTAACATTAGTTAGGATTTTATTGATCAATGTATATCAGGACACTATGTGTAGGGAAATGATTTCTCTCTTCACATTTTTCGTTTGTACCCACTGTGTGACTGACTGTGTCATTAAATGACTCATATGCAAAGCATATATTATCTCCCTGCTTTGTCCTGTTACTTTTACATAGTGCAATGTGTGTGGGCTAATAAAGGTGTGTGGAGCACATGGCAACTATTTATCTCGGGTTAAAATATTTAGTGGCAATGAACTTAGGTTCTGTCAAGTCCTACAACGTTATTTTCCCTTTAATTCTCTCACATTGTGTCTAAACTAGGCAAATGAGCTTCTGAGGAGTTTGTAAGTTGAACAATTCCATAAAAACACATCAACAAATCCATTGATTCAATCATTCAATCGGGCCAGTCGACTGTAATGAAATGCGACCCATAATCAAATTAAGGAATATTTTATTTTTATGTGACTTTTGTGTCCTGTCTCATTCTGGGAGTGAATTATCAGTGTATCTCATTCACTCTCCACACATTCAAAGAACTCAGACACTCTCTTGATGCTCTTTCTTTTTTCTTTCTGTGTCTCTTCCTTTAGGCACAGTGGGATGGACTGACAGGGCACATTGTACTTAATAAGACAGATGGCCTAAGGAGAGACTTTGATTTGGACATTATCAGCCTCCAAGAAGACGGCACTGCCAGAGTGAGTACAGCCGCCTGAAGAGCAGGCTATTACACGAACATCGTGCTCGGTCTGTATTTGGCGGGTGACTGAAAGACATGTTTTTGACACTGTAAATTTGCAGAGACATGAGTAATGTTAATGTTGTACCAACTGACTGTTTCTTTCCATGCTGTCTGTGGTTTGTGTTGCTTTCTTCACATTTTCTAAAGGGTGTTGTGGAGGGCACAAGTCGCCTCACAAAAAGGTGGATCAAGGTTTGTTCTGTGCCCTGTTTGGTTGAAGCCTTTTGTTGTTGTTTTTTTTCCCCAGACCTTTCTGTGTTTTTTCATTCCATATGCCACCCACCTCTTCTGTTACCTGCCTTGTCAACTCTGTTACCCTTCAATGATTTTGTGTACAGCTATGCTATATTTGACTTTTCAGCTTTTATGCGCTTTGGGTGCTGGTTCTGATTGATATGACAAGCATGAAAACTTTTTCTCGGTATCTTTAGAAGGAAGGACAGACAAAAAGAAAATAGGAAAGTAGGAAAGAAAGAAAGCTAGATAGATACAAATAAAATGCTGTAAGTTTACCAACATCAAGTTTATCTAGAGCCTCTTTCCTTTATTATAACATATAAATGGCCATTCTAAGCAAATCTGATGATGGTTTAAAGGGTGATAAAATTGAACTTGCATAAACATGTTTTTGAGACTTTAGTTGTTTAAAGACTGTAGACGTCTGTTGCTATAATTTACAAGCTATCAGTTAGCCCAATCCTTTTTGACCAAAAAAATCTATGTTTATGCTAAATGGAGAGTTAAGGATATCAATTTAAAAATTAAAAAAAATATCTCCTTGAGTTTAAAATGACCTCAAATACTCCTTGTAGTTCTTTTTAAAACATTTGAGCCAAAGAACAGATGTTCAACCAGTCCATCCTCTTAGACAGCTTGGGCACAAAGTTCCCAACTCCATCTGCCTCAGTCGTCAGAAAGGCAGCTATGTGGGCAGTCATCAGCTGTCAAGTCCCAGAGGCCGTGATTTATGTTGCAGTTTAATTTTACGTTGCCCTTTTAACGTTTAACACTAATCCTTAGGGCCTCGTTACTATATGGAATACACATCTCATAAAACACCTGACTTCATGGTAATAATATGGAATTATGAGTTCATTGCAGTTGGGTTGGTTTTTGGGTGCTAGTGTGCTAGACACACTTTGAAGAGGTGGGAAAGAATAAAAGTGAGAAATAAAGTAATTTCCTTCAAAGTTGTTGACTCCTCTGGAAATGTTTTTTTTTTTTTTTTGCCTCCAGCCTCCTTCTTGGCTCGGCTTAGTATGCTCCTAATCTTTGGTAATGGTTTTCCAGTGTGATTTGGTTCTGAGTACGGATGAGCTTTAGGGTTCTTAGCATTTTTCTTAAAGCACATGAGGAAGAGAGAGTCAGTTTTTATAACAGTGTTTATTGGAAGCCACTCTGGTACACATGATAAATTTGCAATGCTATATACAGCAAACCCATGACTCAGAGTTTTAAGGGGAAAAGGCAACTCAATGACTGACATAAACTACATTCCAGCTATTTGAGTTGGCCAGATTTCTGAAATCATCTGAAATAGACGAGTTTCTCTAGATCTTGCTGAGACATTAGTCCTTTAATCCTAGAAATGTCCTTCAGGTGACAAAAGGCAAATTTTGCAACTGTCTTCATGTGACTATGAAGACTCATGTTTGAGTTCATCACTACACCCAGATTCAGTCCTGATCCCTAGTTTCTAGCTTTAATAACTACTATATACTAGCAGTTATTACTATCTAGCACACTATCTAGTATCAAACACATAGCTGCCCACATTACTGCCATTCTGAATGAACACTATGAAGTGTTCCAGATACCACTATCTACAGTAGTGTGCTGACTCTATCATTCTTCTTTAGGTCCAAAAATAATTACTGCAATTTTTTTTTGTATATTTCAGCTTGATGCAGAACAGCTCTATCTATGTGGAGATTAAATTGCTCATACAAGGACTGTGTTTGCATATTTATCACTTAAGAATTGGAAGCACTTTATTCCACTCTAATAGATTCCCCTTTGCTATAGCATAGCAAAAGGGGTTGACTACAAACACATATTACTGTTTTATGATTTTTATGAAAATATTTTGACTGTTAAAAAGTTAAAATGTGTGTTCAGATATATTACTCTCAAGTATGTGGTTTTAAAAGTTGTGGAAAGGTTCAAGACAAATTAATTTAATAATTGCATCAATTAATTACACCAATCTGTTCTTGTCTTCTGCAATATCCTATGATAGTTTATGAACTTCCACTCAGAATACTATGGTAAAAATATATAGTGATTTCAGAAATAATACAGATTTTCCTAGTTTTTATGATTTTATGGGTTAATGTAATCGAACAAATTCTAATAAAGAGTGAAGTATTTTTTATTTATTTTTTTGGAAATGAAATTCCAGTACAGATCTTGAAGTTTTAAAAGACCGCACTGTCTTTTAATCTCAGTTTAATACAGTCAGAGGCACTGATGCATTCACCGCTCATCATCCTCTTTGCAGTGATTGACAGAGCAGGCCATTGTTCCAGAATAAAAACATTGTTTTGTTTAGAGAGTTTAATGCCAGAAGAGAAAGGCTTGTCATTGCCAGTTCTTATTAACAGTGACGCATAATAAGTTAATGCGCTTAACTTTACTGCATCACTGTCATGGGCTCCCACGACCCTTTGCTCTTAAACACTGAGAAGATTTGAGAGGTTGAAAATCCATCTGACAGATGCCTGTTTTAATCTGATAACTGTTGGGATTAAACTGCCTGGTGTGGCCAACCTCATTCACACGTACTGGGATCGTGTGGAGAACAGACTCCTTGTTGCCCTTTATTGCCTCTGAACCCATCTGACTCTGCTGCCTGTGTTTCACTTATGCTGTCCCTGTTGGTGTCAGTCCCTTAATGTTACATCCAAACTGAGCTGTGTATGTATGGTTGCAAAATATTTAATTTAGAATGATACGTATTTACAGTGAAAAGTGGCAAAAGGTTTTTCACTTTGTTGTTTTAGAGGTGGCAAACATGTATTTTGACAACATTGCTAATTAATACTTACAATATCATTCTGATTAATTGTAATAATTTACTCCTGTTTCTCCAGTGAGTAAAATTAACCAATGAGATTATGCAAGATTCATTTGAGGTTCAAATAATATTAGAAATATAAATACTATAATTTCAATCAGAAAGTCTCATATTTGTCTTTGGCATAAATAAGCTTATTAGAGTTTGTAATATGTTTCATTTTTTCCAGTGTTAAATGAATATGAAACACACAGTTTCAGTGCCTTTCAAAAACAAGGAATGGTAAGTGGTAAATTTCTGCATTTTAAACACAAGGAACGGATTACAAGTTTAAAATATTCATTGGTTTGTTTGGATGAGTTAAGGAGAAACTTTAAAACCTCTTAGATTGTATCAGCTGTTACGGTTGTGGCAGCATCTTGTTTCTCATGCATTAATATCGAAGATAAAAGAATATGCAAATTTTTAAATGTCAACTCAAAAGCTAGCTGGTTGAAAATGATGTATTACTGTGTACTCCTAATACAAAGGATACATAAAAACAGTTTGGGGATTATGTAACTTCTGATCCTGTATGTGTAAATGCATGTTTGTGCTAAAGAAATTAAAATTTATGCTCTCAATTCTTGTTTTCAAAACTCATTTAAATTTTTTTTTTTTTCAAATAGATCACTAAAGGATCAGATGATTTTATTTTAGAAGACAACAAGAATTTTATTTATTGGTTTCCCTATGGGCGATGGGTGAATGTCTGAATGTAGGCCATTCACCAAGGCACTTGGAATTACTTCTCTTTTTTAATATCATCTTTTGTCAAATACATAAAAGCTTCTGCACTTTGGTAAAAATCATTAGCGCTCAGCCAAGTAAAGGTAAATGTTTTAGGACAATGAGTTAGGGAGAAAGTTGAAAAGGATGCAGAAGTGTTAGATCTTTTTACCTCCACTTTTCTTTTAATTTCTCACTTCAGCGAGTTAGAAAATATGATTAATATACAGTTCACTGAAGCAGCTTCCAGTTTTCTCTTTAGCCTTGAAAACAAAACAAATAAAATGTTTTTATTTTTCACCAATGAATGAGAAGATCAGCCGGTTTATTCCCTTTAAAGATGCAGGTGTTGGTGATCACATAACACCCTTATTCAGGTTTTTACAATTTATTCAACAAGTCTCTGCTAGATTTCTGCCTTTCTTATTCGCTGAGTAGAGCAGGTGTCACATGTAGCATGTTTCGATTAAGGCAGCAGATGTCATTTTTTGAGTCTGAAATCCTGTTTGTGGTTCCAGGTGGCTGTGTGGAACTCATACAGGGGGATGAAACTAATGGAGAAGACCAACCGGGAAAAGAATACCAATGTGACAGACTCTCTGGCTAACAGGACTCTGATTGTCACAACCATACAGGTGAGAAGATGGGTTAATAACAGAACATGACAGGAAGAAGAAGGATGATTTTAAAAAGATAGGGAGGGTTATTTAATACTCATTCCTGTTCGGGTTGACAGACAAAAACTTCAGATTTCACAGAAGTACTGCCATATTGACTACTTGAGTAGTAAGGTTTATTTTTATATTTTTTTCAAGGAAAATCCTTATGTGATGGTAAAAAAGTCTGAAAAGGAGCTGGTTGGAAATGACCGTTATGAGGGATACTGCATGGACCTTTTGAAGGAGCTCTCCAACATCTTGGGTTTTACATATGAAGTCCGGTTGGTGGGTGATGGGAAGTATGGAGCTCAGAATGATAAGGGAGAATGGAACGGGATGGTCCGGGAGCTAATCGACCATGTGAGTGAAAAGTAGTTTGTTCTGCATTGCTAGTTTTTTATTCTCTTCTTTAAAATTAATCTCTAAAAATGTGATTTTTTTTTTTCTTTAACAACAGGTCGCAGATCTTGCTGTGGCTCCCTTGACTATCACTTACGTTCGAGAAAAAGTGATTGACTTTTCCAAGCCCTTCATGACTTTAGGAATCAGTATCTTGTACCGGAAACCCAACGGTACCAATCCAGGCGTGTTCTCCTTCCTCAACCCTCTGTCCCCGGACATCTGGATGTATGTGCTACTAGCCTGCACTGGGGTCAGCTGTGTGCTCTTTGTGATTGCAAGGTAAACCACTAAACTGCTGCATGTGGCAATGGTTGTTGTTACAAGCGCGATTTGGCAGATTTATGCATGCAAGGTGAAGGTAGCGGCCATGACTGTTAGAATCTGAGCAATGTCAGTGTTGTCAGTAGGTTTTGATGAAGGCCACAAGTTGGTTTCCCATTTTATCAATTTATGTCTCAGCTAATCTTCAAAAACACAAGTGAAAACTGAAAATAGATTGCTTGAAGTGATCATAATTTAACTGTCTGTAAAACATAACTTATAGCCTAACATACTGTCAATTGCTATGTGCGATTTCTCTTTCACACTCTTTGTCTTTCAGGTTTACACCATATGAGTGGTACAACCCACATGCCTGCAATCCATCCTCAACTTTGGTACAGAACAACTTCACCCTGCTCAACAGTTTCTGGTTTGGCATTGGAGCGCTAATGCGACAAGGTTCAGATCTCCTGTTTTTGGTGTTTTTTAATCAGTGCTAAAGGGCTAGACATAAATTACAGTTGTCATGTTTTAAACATTGTGAGATTTATGTTGGATGATTTGGACATTTTACTTATGTAGGTATGAAATGCAGCAATAGATGACTAGCAATACACAAAACAACCAGTGTAAGAAGGCTGCACTGATAGCTTGTCAGCGCATCAGAGAATGTAATAATTATTTTTGTTTAATTACATGCAGTTTTTCTTTCTTTTAGGTTTACACGGCAAATATACAGTCATATGAAAAACTTTCTGACTGTTTATCCTCCATTTTGACATAAGTCTATTTAATTTGTGCTTTTGCCATATTGAAACATTTAAATAACATTTCTACAAAAACCAAACAATCAGAAAGTACCATTCAAAATGTAAAAAATAAAAAAAAACATGTTATAGGTGTTAAAGGAAAAATTCTGACAATTTTACATTTAACATAGTTAAATATTATATTATATATATTATATCACAGCAGGCGCACATCAGTAGTGAGTTTTACCAAGAAAATATGACCTGTTTACACATCATACATTTAGTTCAGTCAACTATTGACTTCTAAAGTGAGAATGAGCACCATGATGAGAGGGAAAGAAAATTTGAATATGCTCATATATATCGTACATTTATTTAGCTCCATTCCAGTTGTACTTTTACCACACTTTTAAATCTTTACCCTTAAAGGTTGCATTTAACTTTCTTTATTTTTCTTGCAATGTCTCCAGGCTCTGAAGTGATGCCTAAGGCTTTGTCTACCCGTATAGTTGGGGGTATCTGGTGGTTTTTCACCTTAATTATCATATCCTCCTACACGGCCAACTTGGCAGCCTTCCTGACAGTTGAAAGAATGGATGCCCCCATCGACTCTGCAGACGACCTCGCCAAACAAACAAGGATTGAATACGGCGCAGTGAGGGACGGCTCCACAATGACATTCTTTAAGGCAAGACTTGAGATGTTTTTAAATAATAAATGCTAATGCTAATGCTAAATTTTATTTTTTGCACATTACGTATTAAGCTTCCATACTTGCATATTCGGGTATAAATATAGCATTCATCAACATTGCTTTATCTCTTGGAAAAATGTTGCTCAGAGACCAGTTAAGACTGGTCTTCTGCTCTTTGGAAAAAACTAAAACATAAAGAAGAGAGAGGTGACTCAAGCCTTTTGAGAACCGTAATAGTGTCCTTCGGTAGAACTGTCACTTTCTTGCGTCACAACATTCACCTCTCCTCACATGCTGTGGCTCAGTGGGGTTGATTCATGCTGAGCTTTATCCTCCCAGATTGCAGCCAGTGATTATGGCTGCCTCTATGGGAAGAAGCTGACTGGGTGGATGGCTTCAACAAATTGAATCAGCCGGGGGAGATTTACCACACAGCTGTCCCATTTTCTCTGGCAGAGCAAGAAGAGACATTCACAATGAGCTATACACTTTGTAATTTTACAATTACTCACATTTTGTGGCTGCACATCAAATCTACTTAATCACACGTGGCATGTATCCTGCATGTGCATCTAGAATAATTGATAGGCCCACTTAGATTTTCCCTTAAATCTGTGTTTCTTATCAGCTCACATTTCTTTTTGATCTTTCAGAAATCAAAGATCTCCACCTATGAAAAGATGTGGGCTTTTATGAGCAGCAGGAAAACAGCTTTAGTGAAGAATAACAAGGAAGGCATCACTCGTGTGCTGACAACTGATTATGCCATGCTGATGGAATCCACTAGCATCGAGTACATCAGCCAAAGAAACTGCAACCTTACACAGATCGGAGGGCTCATAGACTCCAAGGGCTACGGAGTAGGAACACCTATTGGTAAGAGGAGTTAAAACAACATTTCCTATTTGTTAGCACTCATTAGATTAAATAATACTCAAATCTGTGGGAAACTCCAAACTGTGAACATCTAACAGGGAATTAGAGTTATTTCAGAAAAATCTCAAGACTTGCCTTAAAGAATGTCACTGCAGTTGCCAAGATAGTCAAAAATAAGAAATACATATTGGTCAGCTCAACAAAACTGCACCAACCACAACAACAGTCGGTATTGGGAAAGTTTATCTGCTGTATATCCTACTATAAACATTTTCATTTTGAGCCATTTTAAATGGCAAAAGTCAGCTAAAACAGGTGACATACCTCTGAAGCTGCTGGCTTCCTCCTTCTCAGGACTTAATTAATTTCTAACAACTTCACAGTGAAATGACGTCTTTCTATAATGGATAAATCATTTACAACCAACAATAACTGCATAGAGAAAAGGGAAGTATTATTAAGGAATAAGTCACCAAGAAGCAAGCCTGTTATTAACTAGTGAAACATTGTCACTGTTCATAGTGAAACAGATTTTACATCTTTGTTGATGAAGAGAGTTTTGACCAATTACCAGTACATCTTACATCCAGAGTCAGCATGCTTCCTCTCTGTAAAATTGCTTATTTTAAAACAAAATGCTTCCATTGTGGGGAGAAAGTATTTGCCCACTTACAGATGTAGATCAAGAATGATTTTCAAACATAAGAATGCTGTTTATCAAGACGGCAGCAACATTATGATATGGGGCCATGGAATAATGAAGAGGAAAGACTGCCTCTAAAATATTTTTTGACCTTAAACCAAGTAATTAGAAAAAGACAGGAAAATGCCAAAAACCAACGCTGAAAGATCTATTCTGAGTTTTCCTTTTCTCAGTAATCGTTAGGAGGAAAATAAGACAAGCTTTGCACAGTTTTACACACCTTCAAACTCAGCTTTCATTCATGCCAGCATGCCTAGTTGATGAGGCAGTTAATTGTTGTGTTGTTTGCTGCTCTCATGCTTGTCTCCCTGCCGGAAAAGTACACGAGTGCTGAAAATAATGAGCACCGCAGGATTAAATAAAACCTACAGCTTTGTAATTCAGGCAGAACTGAAAGCTGAAGCCCAAACTTGATTTTGGAACTAATTTGGCCATGCTTTTGCACAGGACTTCTATGCAAATCAGGTCTAAATAATGCTTATCAAACACCATTAGAAACATTGGTAACACTTTATTTGAAGGGGGTTGAATAAGACTGACATGACACTGTCATAAACACCTGTCATAAACATGAATAAGCCTTCATGAATATTTATGACTGCTGTCATAAAGTGTCATTTGGTAAAGTATGACACTTTTAATACAAAGTTGACATTATTCAAAATGTCTTTATGACAACTTGACATTAACCAAGAAATCATTACTGTTATAAATTTGTTATAAAAGTATTACTGATTGCACTTTAAAAATTAGGTAACTTTATGTTATTAAAGGTAAAGTTTAAACAGTAATGATTACCTGGTTAATGTCAAGTTGTCATAACAAAGACATTTTGAATAATGTCAACTTTGTATTAAAAGTGTCATAATTTACCGAATGACGCTTTATGACAGCAGTCATAAATATTCATGAAGGCTTATTCATGTTCATGACAGGTGTTATATCATGTTTATGAAAGTGTCATAACAGTCTTATTCAACCCCCTTCAAATAAAGTGTTACCGAAACATTGTTTTCATATGATGCTGTAAAGTGTAATTAAGAGGATAAAAGTGTTGAATATGAAAAGGTAAACAATAAATCAATAATTTAATAATCATTCTGTGAATATTGTGTCTTCTTTGATAGGCTCCCCCTACAGGGACAAAATCACAATCGCCATCCTCCAGCTGCAGGAGGAAGGGAAGCTACACATGATGAAGGAGAAGTGGTGGAGGGGCAATGGTTGCCCAGAGGAGGACAACAAGGAAGCCAACGCTTTGGGTGTGGAGAACATTGGTGGGATCTTCATTGTTCTTGCTGCCGGTTTGGTGCTTTCCGTTTTTGTCGCAATTGGAGAGTTCATCTACAAGGCCAGAAGGAATGCAGACATTGAGGAGGTGAGTGAAGAACAGCACAACTGTTCATCTGAAGAATCCAAGAGTGCAAAGTAACATTCAGATATGAAAGAATGATTGAAATGTTACAGTAGACAATGGACTGATTAAAAAAATTCCAATCTAAAAATGTCAGAACTAACCAATCACTTCTCTTCATTTGAATTGAAATTTTAGATACAGCGTGTATCTAAAATTTCAATTCAAATTGAATTTTAGATACACAAAATGTCTTGCAATTACCAAATTTATTTCTATTTGCCAAATGCCACAGTAATTACAGTAAAACTTTTCTTTTTAGAGATGTTTTTTTTTAAACTTTTTTCCTTTTAAACTGAATGATTTAAATTATCAATTAGTTGTCCTTTCACAAGCTTCACACATTAATTAGATTTGATATGCTTCCATACATTTTTTTCAGCTCAGCCCATTTATTTTCTAACTTATGTGAAACTAAACAGTGATGAAAAATATGTATATTTCTTATCAATACTATGTATATAATTACTTGGTTTCAACTCTATGTTGAAACTAACTCTAAGTAGATGTATTTCACTTTTTTACTTTTTTGTCACTGAACTCGCATCATAATTTCAGCCTCATTTCTTTTTTGTTTGTTTGTTTTAACTTTGTGTATTTAAGCTTTTTTATTATTATTTTTGCTTTTATCTAAATATCTCCACTGTCTTTTAAGTTTGTTTATCTTTTGTGTGTTTTCTCCTCCATCCATTTTATTTCCTTTTTTTTTTCTTTTTTTTTCACATCAGGCCTTTTGTTTCTTTTACGGGATGCAGTCCCGTCAGTTCCAACGCCGTGGCTCCACTTCCTCCTCTGGCAGCTCTTTATCAAATGATCTGGAGAGCGGCAGGCTACTGGGGGATGACACAGACTAGCCATGGCAGCTCATACACAACTCATACTCGCTGTAGACGATAGGTTTGTAAACCAGATGACCTTCCCTTTGTCCCACATCATAATATCCCAGTATGACCTTACAGTCACACGCAATCACAGGTTTACTGATTTGTGATTGATTTTAACCCTTTTACCCTCAACACACTAATTAATGACCCATTTTTGTTTGGTTTGTTTTGCGAAAAAAAAAACTCATGTGAGCTTTATTCTTTAACGTGTGCCTCCACATGTGCAATGCTTTCCTGAATTCATCCTTCCATCTATCCACCCGTCAACTCTGACCAACTTCCTGGTTCGTGGTAAAAGAAAACTAACCCTCATCATAATGTTGTAACCACCGTGTTCTACTGTGGGGATGATGTGCTCAGGATGTGCATTATTTGTTTTGTCAAAAAGTAACATTTTAATCCTGTCTGATCAAAGAACCTTCTTCCATATGTAAGCTGGACCCATTGTGGAGACACATAAGAAGTCATTATCCTCCCATCCGTTTACTCAGTCTGTTAGGTGCACAGCCATGTACTGGTAGGTTTTCACGTACACCATACTTTTTTCTAATTTCAGAAGAAGGACTGAACAGTGCTTTGTGAGATGTTCTTATCTGGGGATATTCTTTTTCAAACTAACCCTGCTTTAAACGGCCGATTTTTCCCCTTTGTCTTCTTGATGTTGTTTGTTCACTAATGTTCTCAAGGAGCCCCTTAAGGTCTTCTTAGAATAGTGGCTTTATACTGAAATTAAATTACACACAGGAGGACATTCTTTATTTATAACTTGTCTTCTGAAGGCAGCTAGTTGCACTGGATTGCACTTAGGCATGAATCAAAAAGGATTGAACATGCATACATGCCACAGTACTCTGACTTTTATTTGCTAAAATGTCTAAAATGCTTGCAATCTCTTTCTCCCACTTCTAGATTATGCACTACAATGTTTGTTATCTATAACATAAACTCTAAATAAAACATGGAATTGCTGGTTGCTATGTGACAAAAATATGGAGAAAAAAAAACCTCAAGGTGTATGAATACCTTTAGAAGGCACTCTGATGGCGTTTTACTTAATATATTTTGTTTTTCATCAGGTTCAACAACCTTTTTTCTCTAAAAGTAAACAGCAAAAATAAACCCGATAGTGAGCATAAGGTACAATAAATCCTGCAAATGGAACTACTCAAAAGCTACATTAAACACGAGAAATGAATTTGCAGGTAATTTAGGAATAGAATGGATTGCAGCTGATGAATAATAACACACTGGAAGAGTGTCCATGGACCTGGAAACTGTGTGTGCTAAATTTAATGGTAAAACATTATCTGAAGAATCTAAGATTAGAATAAAAGTTGTTTAGTTCTACAAAAACTGAAATGGTAGACCATATGGCAGAGTGAATGACAGTCAAATAGCTAAACTGTTGTCACTGATGCACAACTTGAATAGCAAAATATGTTGAACCAAATATACAGAGGAAGAAAACTTAAAAATTATATGCTATGCACAACAATAATTGAACTAAACTGGATTAGGAAAATCTACTATTCTTAAGAGTCCAAAACAAATATAATTCTAGAGAATAGTTACTGAATAGACTGGAATAAATTTGGTTCAAACATTTTTTGTTTGTTTGATAGAAGATGAGTTTTCTTTACTGAAGCTACAAGTCACTGGTATTCATGGAAAATCCCTAAAGATAGCATGTTTGTTTGGGAAGCCTTTGGCAAAGCCTACAGATGAAAGATCTTCTGTCGGCCTTGGACGTAAAGACAAACAGATGATAAAAGAAACGCTTTGTGCTATGAATGATGATGTTTCACAGACCAGCCGAAGAAGAATAAAACATAAAGAAAAGATACATAATTGAAGATTAATGTGTTTTTAATGGGATCTAATATTCTCCAGCTCCAAATAAGCCTGAGGCTTTCCATCCCTTTGATCGTTTCAAATTATTACCAGATCATTAACTGGCTAATTGATTTTGGTTTGCTGATTTAAAATGTTGCACAGCAGACGTACATTTTGTGATGAGGAAACAAAAAATCATGAGTCATTTAACTTTCATGTAAAAAGATAAAAAAGTAAAAATTGATCAAGTCTTTTTCTTTTTAATCGGCTACATGCTCACATTGAGCTGCAGCTTTAGTCTAAGTTTAAATTAATGCCAGTTCATTACACACGTTACATATCAAACAATATTTATCATTACCATGGATTGTTGTTATTGAAAAATTAATTAACATGAAAAAACGATAAAATATTGTCCTTTTTTTGACAGTGTGCGTCTTTTGGTGCTGTGATGGAGGAGTTGGGTAGATCCCTGCAGTGTTACAAAGGTGTCCGGAGCAGGTCGCGACCTCAAAGTGCAACGAGGTCCCCCTGCATCTTCTGTCAGCCAAAACGCTCTGCAAAAAGGGACGGAGGGAGACGAGACTCCAGCGCTTGAGGCTTGGATCCAAAACTTGATGCAATTTACATCAGACTGAAGTTAACTTACTTTTTATCTTCTCTAAATTTTTTGTGAGACACAAGTTCAAAAATATATATATATTTATATTTCTTTCATCCCCTTTTCTTTAGATTGATTGTCTGTGTGAAGCACTACTGTAGATGTAGTTTACAGCATCATAGCCCTGTAAAAACAACACGTGTCAAAAATTTTAAACTCTTATACGTTATTCATAGTCCCTCGTCTTTAACTGTTAACAGTTTGTAAAGTTAAATCTGCAAACTTTATAAAGTATCCCATGGTGTAAATGTGAAGCAGCTTTACTGATTTTCAAAATAAATACTTTTTTTTGTTGTTTTTTCACGTTTTTGCAGAAATATGATTGATTTTGTTGACAGTGATGTCTTTGCACGCTACTTTGTTTATCTGCCAGTGCCCTGCGAAGTTCTTTACTGAGCCAAGCGCTGCCAGGGAAAGCAGATAACGACCTCTAAGGAAAGACGGGAACACACCTGCTGTTTTATATCCCGCTCCAACCAACATCACAGATATCCATCCAGAAACTCTCGCACATGCACACAAAATGGAGCTCCACAATGCTGTGAGATGGCGAGAGGGAATGGTAAAAAGAGAGTTTCAAATGCAAGACATTCTCAGCATCTCAAAACACACACACACTCCAAAAAAACTATCTCCTGTACACCTGAGAGTACTGTAGCAGGCTTTTTTTCTTCATTTGTCAAATTTGAAAGCCTGATGGGACGTCTTTTCTCCCTGCAGTCACAGCAGGTCCTATTCAGTGTATGACGTCTGATGTGTTGAAAAGGTGAATATATCAGTAAGGAAGACTATTTCAGTTTCAAGCTTGCTGTACATGTCACATACTATATGTTATTTTTTTTCTATATGCTGCACATTTCCGGTAAAGAAAAAAGCTTCCAATTAATAGGTGTTCATTTTACTGGTATTTATAACAAAAAGTAGCAAGTGATCCGATGATGCTTTGCACGACCTTTTTCTCACCAAGTCATCTCGTAGCGTGTGCTTTTTTTCTTTTTATCATATTTCATTTTAAATATGAAAACAAAATCAAGCTAACATTTTTGTTTCATTTTTGACCATGAGAAAAGAAAAAAGAAAAATAACCAGTATTTCAATTGCGTATTTTTATTTTTGCTTTAATGAAAATCCAACTTTTTATTATATTTTATTTATATGAATTAGTTTTTGTCACTGGTTTCTGAATACAAAATAGAATGGGACAAACACTTAATGGAGTGACATTGAAACTGGAATAAGTGCTTGTGTAGATAGTTTCTAATTCACTCAAATCAGACTTTTTACTTTGACGTGCCTGTATGTAAACTGACTGTTCTGTACACCTCCCAAAAGAATTGGACCATGCTTTACTTAATCTCGTCATGTAATGAGTTTTGTCTTTTTTTTCCCCAATTTTTTTTTTTTTTTTTGTATTTAGATTAGTTCAGGGATTGGGCTCAGTCCTGTGTAATAGCATTTGGTTGCCTCTAATCTCCTAACCCCATGAATCTTAATCAAAACCAAAGGCAGTTTTTCTTTTCTTTTTTTTTATCTTCCTCTAATCCATCTTGAACAAGGCCAGGGATTACAATTCTGACCTTGGCATTCTGCTCTACTAAGCAAGAATCCCTGTCCATCTTTGTAGTGGGCATGTTACCTGACGGACACTATTGACATGTTTACATTTTTTTTTACATGCTTTATCCCTGTGAGATTTATGCCAGGAAAAATCTGACAGCATCACTGGTCTTGAAATAAACACACACACAAAAATAGTTTACTTGTTTCTGCTGTTCAGATGGAGAAACTTCAAATGGATGCTGGCATTTACCTGTTTGTGGTCTTGATCCAAAAACAAGAGATTATTTATGCAGAAGTCCTGCAGCGATGAAGAGGAGATTGACAGAAAACACTCACTTGAGAATGGTTCTTATGAAAAAAAAAAAAAAAAAAACCCTGCATGGTAAAATTTACATTATTCCAAATTAATAGCTTTGTTGTATGAAATCAAATTCCATATTAAAATCTACTGTAGAGAAAAATCTCATTTCTATTATGGATCCTTCAGACTTGTCAGGCTCAGTTTGTGTATCAGCATGTGACGTTTTCAACTGTACAAACAACAGGAGAATTAAATTTCAACTATGACTGCAGCATAAAAAATGGCAGATGTCTGGGTGTGTCCCATCCATCACAATGAAATGAAGACTCCCTGAGGCTGATAAGGCAGGTCTGTGTCAACAGCCTGTCAATGAAGACAAATGAGGAGGAGGAGGCTTTCAGAAGAGTAGAGTATCTTTTATCTCCATCTGCTCCCCTCAATGTGTCTCTCCCGTTTTCCAAGTGCTTGAAGTCCTAGTTGTAAATAATTCAGGGTCAATGCTGCCATCTGCTGGTGGGCATGTGAAGTGGTCTTGTAAAAAAGCCGAATTCATAAGTCAAAATTTCAAATGCTACATGTATCTTTAAAGAATTATTTCCAAGTCCCAGTATAAAAAGTGTAGGTGCATTTTTATTTAGCCCTTTTTACTTTTAGAAATTTAAATTCAAACATTTTTGCAACCATGTTTAAATGTAACCAAATTACTACATCAGATCCACCTGTGTCTAATTTATTCTCAACATGAGCATAACTTTAAATGCCTTTCAGATGTGTTTGAGAAGATTCATCACCAAACTGCATCATTAAGACCAAGGAACAGACCAGGCAAGTCAGGGACACAGAAGGGCAGAAGTTTAGAGCCAGGGCAGGTTATGACAAAATTTCCCATCAGTCGTCTCACAGCGCTCTACTTCATCCATCTGAAAGAAAACTTGCTGGATTTTTTTCTTTAAGCAAAGAAAATTTCAAAAGACACCATCAATTCATATATTAGAAGCAGCAGTAGCAGCAAGAGTCAGCTGTAGATTTTGCAACAAATGTATAATTAATTTCTGTTATGAATTATTTTTCCTGTGAAGATTTTCATTCTACGATAAATGCTCTTCTAACATAGAAGGCAATTAACACCGTTTTAGATTCAGCAGATCGTGAATCATTGTGCATCGATCAGCAGCAGAAAACTGAGTTCAGAGAAAGATCACTACTGCTGACCTACTGCAGTTTTAAAGTGGCTGAATGTTTCAGCGTTTTCCTTCTTTAGCTGAATGGACAACTTTCTTTATAATAATTGTGTTAAGGATAGCAGACCTTCTGCAAACATTTTAATTGTAAGCGGAATCTAGAGCTATATAAATGCAGCCACGTGTTTTTTTTTTTTTTTTCTCATGCATTCCATAATCCTTTATTTTTTTTTTACTTCAGTCACTTTTCCAGGGAGCATAGAGCTGTGGAAACGATCACCTTATCCTCTGTGAAGTGAACACTCATCATGCTGAAGTATTATTTTATAAAATGCATAATTCATGAAAAAGTGACAGCAAGGTCTGAGCTCCCTGGAGCACCAATGTCATTTACATCTTTATGATTCAAAGGCTGCATCAGATTTTTCTATTCAGTGCTCTGCACCTCACATACATACAGTTGCTGTGGTATGATCCATCCTTTTATGATTCATCTGTGCTAATCACTGTCTTGATCTTGGTAAAGGCTTTTTCCTGGCACAGCTCCCATCCAGATTAAATGCTAGCAATCTATTTCTGATTATGGATGCAAGATTTGCAAGACTTAACAAAAGGTTCCTAACCATTCTTTCCATCAAAAAACTTTATTATTATGCTGATTTAGTTGATTTGCAAAAGGTCTTCAGATCCAACTGCAAGTTGCAGCACAAAAGTAACATACATCAGGTCCCAGAGGTTGGAGTTTTAAATAAAACAGATTGCACTTGTCAATGATTGAATAGTCTATAAACTGACTTTTGTAATCACTGAAAACTACAATTTAATCCCTGACAAGAAATCTACAGACACTACAGTGCAAACAAAAAAGTCTTATGTGTTTGAGTACTACGTTCATTAATGGACATGTTACTGTAAGAGATGCACTTTGAAAGATCAAATAATTGATGAAACAACTGTCACAGAAGTATTAAATTTAGTATAATAAAGTATGTCTTGTTAAAGTATGAAACCCGACCCCTTCAATATTTCTGCATTTTGCCACATAAACACGTTTATTTTCCTTGGATTTTATTTCATATTAATTGTGAGGTTCAATAAATTGTATGTTTTCCATTATTAAAAAATAAATATATAAATAAATCTGAAGAATTTGGCATGAAGTTTTATTCAGCCATCTTTTACTGGACGTCTCTACCATCTTTTTCTTTCTTTTTTTTTGCTATTGCAAAGGGACCATCTTTCATATTAAACAACTAAAATGGTTGCTAATTTTCCTTTGCAAAATAACTACAACTCGTAAAAACAAAACAAAACAAACAAACAAACAAAAAAACATACCGTAGAAATGTAAAGGATCTTTCTGGGATTTTTGACAGGTGTCTTTTCCTGTATTTTCTACTTCATGCGGTGCATCATGGGAACAAGAACCTTTGCAAAGCACGAAAACCGGTTTACTAGCTGCTACCCTGATACTGGAATGTCTGTCCTTTGTACTTGGGTTGAACTTAAGAGTTGGAGTAACCTCTTTTTGGCACTTTTATGGTATGTAAAATAAATCAGAACATTATTTTTCATTAATAAAATCCTTTGTGGTAGTAGCTGAGCTTGTTTGACTTTGGGAGTCTTGAGCCTAGCTAGTTTGCTATAGTAAACTCTTGTGGTCTCACTTCAATGTTTTTTTTAATTTTATTTATATTTTAGTTTTCAAAAACTAAATTAATATTAATATTGTTAGGTTTTTTTTCACATAAAGGGCCGCAGGGACTCTGTTTTCCTCTACAAGAACATATAAGAGATGCTTACTCTGAACAACTGCCTCATTGCAGTGCTATTGCAAAGAGACCATCCCAGTGGGATGACTGTGTCACTCAAAACGGAGTTGGAGCTGTGGGCATTTTTGGAGGCTAAAGTCATGTCATCGGAGACATTTAATTGGGTCTGAGCCGCCACGGGGGGACAGTGAACAGCATTCCCGCTCTGCGTGCCTGAAAACTGAGTTTACTCCACTCCGCGTCGCTGCAGTCTGCGGATAACACATGCGTGCCGAGGCAAACTTAAGCTGTGGGTGACATTAACAGCTGAGGCGAGCAAAGTGGACATCTTTTCTTAAATCTTGTAACCACAAAATAATGAAGGGGTTTTAGTAAAAGTACAGATTGAAGTAAGAAGACATTAGTTTTTCTATTTTTACTGATCTGGATTTGCTCAGGAGTGGCACCGGCTGACATAAGGGGCAGTAGGGAAGACCCCAATCC